TGAGGTGTTTCTATTGAGAGTCAGCTGAAATTCTAATGGGAACTTCTTTGTAGGTAATTTATTTCACCAGGTTGGTCAAATGTTCTTTTGTTATTTCTTCAAATAAGTTCTCTGTTTCTTGCTCACCTTCTTCCCCTTCTGGTATTCCTATAATATGGATATTGTTATGTTTCATGTTGATCCTGAGCTCCCTTAAGCTATCTTCCTGCTTTTTCATTCTTTTTCTACTTGTTGCTCTAATTGGGTATTTATTTCTACCTTGTCTTCCAAATCACTGATTCAATCCTCTGTTTCATTCATTGTACTTTTAATTATTTCCAGTGTGTTCTTGATGTCAGATATGTTATTTTTCATTTCTGTCTGGTTCAGGTTCATGATTTGTATTTGCTTCCTCATGCTGTTATAGTTCCCACAGAGTTCCTTGTAATGTGCACTCAGCTCCTTAAGCATCTTTACAACTATTACTTTGATTTCTATGTCTGATAGGTTGCTTGTGCCCATTTCACTTAGTTCTTTTTCTGGAGATTCCTCTTTTCCTTTCATTTGGGGGTTCTTTGTATCACCATTTTAGCTGTCTATTTGTATTTGTTTCTATGTATTATATAGAACTGTTATGCCTATGTAACAGTTCTATATAATACAGGCTTTGTTGGATGGCCCTATGTAGAAAGTTTCTTGAGGGGTCTCCCCTTGTGTGGATTATTTGGGCTCTTTCTATTTTAATTAGGTCTTGATTGTTGATGCTCCATTCATGAGATGGATATCCTTTCTGACTTGCTGAAAGTGAGGCTCAATCCTAATCTCATCGTGCTAGCTATTATACAGGTGTTGACAAAATAGAACAAGACACAGCAGGACCAAACCAAAACTAAAATCAAGCCACACAAAGCAACAACAACAAGAAAGTCTAAGAAGTAAAAAGAAGAGAAAGCAAAGAAAAATAAATAAAGAGAATACTAAAAGACATGCAATCAAAGACTTCAATGGTATATAAAGAAAGGGAGAAAGAGAAAGAAAAATGGCTATTAGAAAAGCAAGGAAGAAGCTAAAAGAACTAGTATAGGAAGAAAAAAGAAAAGGAAACAAAAAATGAAATAATAATAATGAACTTAAAATATAATAATAAATAATATATTAAGCTATACATAAAGTAAAATGAAAAAAAATAGAAATGAGAAAAATTAATAATGAAAAGTGATACAAGGAGAATAGAATCAAAGGAAAAATAAATTAGAGATATGAGAGAAAAAAGAAAAAAAGGGGAAAAACAAAAAAGCCACACATACACAACAAAATCGCACACACTCACACTCAAAAACCTTTGAGTCTGCTATTTGTGGAGTTCATTGGATTTTGCTCCGATGTTGTTGAATCTGGTCACTTTGTGTGTCTATCCTGGGCATTCTTGGAGATTTCTGGCCAGGTCAATGTGAGTCACTGCCCCTTTCTGGCCTTGGGTAATTTGATTGAGGCCCAATAGGTGAAAGCTCCTAGTTGTCCAGTGAGTGAGGACTCCTTAGTCCAGAGACTGAGTCTGCCTCAAGTCTCATGCCTTGAGCTATTCTCTCTTCCCACTTGGAGTTGGGCTCTGCATGGATATCCTGGTCTTGGCTGGGATGGTTTGACTAGACTCATGTTGTCGGTAGTGCCAGTAGCTTGTAGGAAGTGGGGCTGGGCCCTTTCTGTCCTTCTAATACCTCTGCTCTGCCTGGTTAGTTGCCACCTTCTCTTTGCCACCTGCAGGGGCACAGATTTCCTGCCCTAGGCTATTTCCCCTTGTCTCAGGTTGCTGCAAGTTTAGTAAGAAGCAGCTCTTTTGCTGGTGGGAAAGAGGGCAGCTCCTCTGCATTCCAGGTGGGCAGGGCTGATTCTACTTCCTGGACTATTTTCAAACTCCTTTTCTGCTCACCAGCAAGAGTTTCTCCAAGAAATATAAAGTACCCCAGATTCAATGTTGTGTGTGTCCTTCAGACCACTCCAATGTAGCCTGGCCCTGAGTTCCACTGCAAGGTCCTTCCCACTGATCAAGAGGAGCTTTCTAGGCTGTGTTATGGCAGGGTGCTAACACTACTCTATCAAAGGACTTCAGCTCCACTACTGCACCACTCTTCAGTTTCCATGGCCAATATTCTCAGGGCCTCCTCTTTCAGTCCCAGGCACTCCTGTTTCACCCATAATTTGCAGCCTCTTCAGTCTCCTCAGGTCCTCATTTTTAATAGTTCCAGTTCAAGGGAGGCCACATCCACCTCTTGGCCTTCAACACAGTTCCTGCCCTCAAAACCTGACTTCATGAAATGTGACTAAGTCACCTGTTTTGCCCTTAAGAGAACCATTCATGTCCTTTTTTCATACCATTTAATGTATTTGACTTGAATGAGAAAATTACCAGGGAAGGATTATTTTAAATCAATCATCTGCCCATTATTGTTATACTAGATGCCCGGTGCATGAAATTCGTTCATGGGTAGGGTCCCTAGGCCTGGTCTGCGATCAGGGCCAAGCCAATCAGAGCCAGAAGACCCTGGCAGGGTTGGGAAAGGAGGTGATGGTTGCCAGACCAGGCACGGAAGAAATGGATGATTGACAGCATCAGCGCCCACCACCACACGGTTCCCTGCCTCTCCCTCTCATCTTTCCCTTGCTGCCATACTGCCACTAGGGCCTACCAGCTATGGGGAGGGAAGAACAGGGGGAGGGACCATGGGAGATTTGCCACCCAAGGGGAGGGACCGCAGGAGGTTGGCCACCAGCCCCAAGAAGGGAGCTGGCCCTTAGCCCCCCTGGGAATGGGGTCAGATCCGCCTCCACTGACCCTTGTTTTCCTATCCCAGCCCAGGGCTCAAAGGCCCCTGGCAGAATTGGGAAAGAAAACAATGGTCACTGGGCCAGGCAGGGAAGGAACGGGCACCAGATGCCAATGCTATCCTCAGCACCCCCCCACTGTGCAGTTCCCTGCCCCCACCTCTGTCCCTCATTGCCACCAGGGCCTGCTGGGTGGGGGAGGGACAGGGCCTGCCCACTAGGGGAGGAATAGAGGGAGGTTGGCCACAGCCCCCTGGGAAAGGGGCCACATTTGCTGCCACCCACTCCCAATTCCCTGTCCCAGCCTGGGGCCCAGCCCGATCAGGGCCTGCTGACCAGGACTGTGGGAGGTTGGCCAGCCAGGGGAGGTTGGCTGTGGGATCGCACTGATCACGAGGGAGCAGCTCCTGCATTGAGCATCTGCCCCCTGATGGTCAGTGCGCATCATAGTGACTGGTCATTCCAGTCATTCAGTCATATCAGTCACTTGGACTTTTATATATATATAGAAAATGTCAATGACAGATAATCAAACCTTTATGCTGTGAACCCTGAGAAAGAAGATACCTATCAAGAAGGGTTCCTGGTGGCTACCTGGGCTCAACCTTAAAAGAAGAACCTAACAGCTGTTTCTAAACAGTGGCCTCTCACACTTCAAAGAAAAGCCTCCACTGAACTGCCTTTCTGCATCATGTGCCTGCATCTGTGCTAGTCCTTAGAAAAGAGTTTCTGGAGCTGTATTTCAAGCAATAGGACTAAGGCTTTCCCCATCCAATCAGAGCTGCGCAACTATATCTCCATCAGTATCTTCACTGACCAATCAGAGTGGCTCCATTCTGACCAATCAGATAGTCCCTTTGGACCAATCAAACTGAGGATTTGGTATCCTCATTTGCATGAGGACAGACCAATCAGGGGCCATGAGTGGGACTTCTCTCTGTGTAACTCACTCCCCTCTGTCTAGGAGAGTTCACATTCCAGTTCCAAGGAAGACTGAGACCATGTTTCCTGGTTGGAGCTGAAACACTAAAGATAAAACACTGAAGACATCTCAGGGAACCAGAGCAGAGGAGAGTAAGAAGAGGAGAGCAGAGAAGAGCAAAGCAGACTAGTGTATAGAGGAGGAGAGCACGCAGAGTAGAGATGAGCTGTCTTGAAGGGAGAGGGGCCTTGTCCCATAACTGCCTCACTCAAGGGCCTCCTCACAGCCCTGCAGTTTCACAGTTGTACTACTCCATAATTGAGCTGTAACACCATTGAGCTATTCCACAGCCATACTATTTTCACAGCTGTGCTGTATCACAATGGAGATGTTTGCACTAAGTAAAGTTTCCTTCTTCACCATACCCCAAATTGGGAATTTCTATTGGTATTAAATTAGCGCCAACAACTATCGACCTGAAACTCTTAGTGATGTATGTCAATCATATCTCAATAGAATTGAGGAAAACAAAACAACAAAAATAGCTGCAGAAAATCAACAGTCATATGTAAGCAGTTCATAGAGTATGGCTCAGAAAAGATATCTTAATCCCACCCTATATCCTCTAGGAGCCTAGGTTATAGCTCACCATAATAACTTACAATGTGGAAGTGTAATTGTCAGTAAATCTGAAAAACTGTGAGAAAGATAACCCTTCCTATATACTCAAAATATCATAAATAAGCTGACAGAAATTCCCGAGTGCCCCATTAAAAGCTGTCTCGACAAAATTTAATATATGGAACATTTAAAGAGCCCCTTTCCAAAAAACAAACAAATCAATATAAACTATGGTGTTCATAACCAGTTGTCATGTTACCTAAAATTTTCTCATCAGTTTATTCAATTAAAGAATGATGTTGCTCAGAAAAGTTAGCTCTTAAATCCATTATAAGTCATGCTGTATAAGCACGACTGCATTCGTCAGTCACCAGGCAAGACACTCAGGGGTGTTCTGAGAGGGAAAGATCAAGGTAGGGCCTATTCCAGAGCAGCTATAGGTACAGTGCCAAGGTAGGAAACTCTGGGGGCATGAAGGACAAGGTTTTCAGGGGGAAGATTTTTATCAAGGACTGGTCACAGTTCCACTCTAATGACCTGGAGGAAAATATATAATTAAGGCAGAATACAAAAAGCAAAAGATTTAATGAGCTATTTACAAATCTGATTACTATGGTGACTAAAGCAGAAAAAGAGCCTTAAAGTTTCTCCTTACCTCTGCCATCAAAGTTCCTAAAATGTATAGAGACTGACCCCACATATGAGGCAATTTTCCCATGGGGACTCGGTCCACAGTGTGGGGATTTTGATATTCTTCATCAACCTAAAAAAAAAAAAAGATTAAAAGGCTACAAGAAGGATAATAGAAGGTTTTAAATACTAGACAGGAAAAAGGCTGAGTTTGGATTGTGATTTACACACTGTGAAACAGTCACATATGCAATGCACTGAAAAGTCAAGCAGTGTTCCTCTAACTGTAGGGTGGATACAGATTACCTGAGGATTGTGTACAAAGACAGATTCTGACTTGAATAGGTGTGGGGGAAGGCCTGAAACCTGCATTTCTAACAAGCTCTCAAGTAATGCTGTTGATGTTGCTGGGAGCTTATTCCACCCATCCCTACTAGAACCAAAGACTGCATCTCTCCCATGGTTAATACTCTTTTGCAATAGAGAAGAACAGTAATATTTCTGACTGGAATTTTGGGAAAATGGAGACCTACTTCATTTTCAAAGACTGATCTACTCAAATAATCCCAAATTGGTGGTCTCAGAGAAAAAACATATCAAATCCTGAGAGTTCACAGAGAACAACACTCTGGTTCTGACTACTGATGTCCATATCATTCTCAGCCTTAAGGTTTGTGTTTTTTTTAAATCAACCTCTAAACAATTTATTTGATTTTTTAAATTGAGTTATGGTTGACATACAAAAATGCTATACATTTTCAATGCATCTTGGTAATTTTGAGGGTAAGTATACACCCTTGAAACTACCATTGTTAAGTTAGGTCTTACCCTTGTCTTGCTGTGCAACAGTGTCATAACTGTGAGTGCTTTAAAATCTTTCAAGGGAACAAAATTATAATTTTATTGTCCTACACTGAAAGACAAAATTTTAGAACATGAAAATCATAAGAAGGTATTATAACAATTATTTGACTCAAACAGGGCAGACCTATCGAAGTACTCCTCTTCTCCCAGCCCCATGATATGGCACTGTCTAGCTCACCTTGTCAAGGGGAACACTGTATAGCTCAGGCAGAAGTGGGACTCCATTTTTGCCCTTGATGAGGACTTCTTCCAGAGCCTCTCTATATTCTTGAACCTATGGGTATAAGAAAGGGAGAAAAAAAATTATAGAGAGGTCCCTTTGGGGATCCAGAGGAAACTGTTGCCAAAGAAAATCCTATTTAAAAGGAACATATTTACCTAGTAAAAGGAAGAAGAGGAGGAAGTAGCATCTACTACATGCTTATTATAGACAAGATACTCTATTAGGTGTTTTGCATACTTTAACACATTTAATTTTAATAACCATCCTAGGAAGTATGTATAACCATAAACTTTTTATAGGGAAACTAAGGCTTTAGCAGGTTATGAACTTATGGAAGATCACACAAGAATGCAAGGTTGAATCCAGATTTGAGTCCAAGTCAACCTGCCTCTACAGGCCTATTTTTATTCACTATGTACTACCCTAAGGATAGGTTTGTCACATTACATGTACTGGCTTTTAAAACTATATTTTGCCTGCAAATTAAGTTTCTTTCATGGCCAAGTTTATGTGTTTTTTGTTGAACAATTTTTTATAGATTAATAATGCATAAAAAGTAAAAAAAAAAAACACTATAATTTATCGTGAAAAAATATATAGTTAGTTCTGCTATAACAGTTGTTTAGAAAACACAAATTTGTTCCAATGTCTTTGATATATTAGGGAAAATTTTGAGCATAACATGAATTTCACATACGCTCATGAACTATTTCAATTGAGAACACATATAGCTAAAATGAGCCGTGAAAGATTATATAGGAGGACAATAAGCCATATCCATCTGCATGCAGGGTTATAACTTTCTGTCAAATTTCAGATAACTTCCTGTCCACTACTAATAAGGTGCTCTTTTCTCATGGCCATTAGCTGAATGGCTCTGTGCCTTTCCTTCTCTAATTCCCCCTCTTTATTCGCAGCATATGTTCTTTGTTCATTTTATCTTTTCTCAAAAAATCTTTATTGTTGAAAGTATTATATATGTCCCATTTTCCCCCCATTGACCTCTCCAGCCTGCCCCAACCTCCCACTCCAGGCCTTCACCACCCTATTATCTTTTTCCATGTGTTATGCATATATGCATACAAGTTCAGTGGTTGATCTCTTCCCCCCAACTCACCCTCCACTGCCATCCCTCTGAGGTTCAACAATCTTGTTTGATGCTTCTATGTCTCTTCATCTATTTTTGTTCATCAGTTTATGTTGTTCATTAGATTCCACATATGAGTAAGATCATGTGATACTTATCTTTCTCTGATGGGCTTATTTTATTTACAATAATGCTCTCCAGGTCCATCCATGCTGTTGCAAATGGTAAGAGTTCTTTCTTTTTATAGCTGCATAGTATTCCATTGTATAGATATACCAGTTTTTTAACCCACTCATCTGCTGATGGTCACTTAGGCTGTTTCCAAATCTTAGCTACTGTAAATTGCACTGCTATGACCATAGGGGTGCATATATTCTTTCTGATTGGTGTTTCTGATTTCCTAGGATATATTCCTAGAAGTGGGATCCCTGGGTCAAACAGGAGTTCCATTTTTAATTTTTTTAGTAAACTCCCTACAGAATTTCAACAGAGGCTGCACCAGTCTGCATTCCCACCAGCAGTATATTAGGGTTCCTTTTTTCTGCATTCTTGCCAATACTTGTTGTTTGTTGACTTGTTGATGGTAGCCATTCTGACAGGTGTGAAGTGGTACCTCACTGTCATTTTGATTTGCATCTCTCTGATGATTAGTGACTTTAAGCATTTTTTCATATGCCTCTTGGACTTCTGTATGTCCACTTTGGAGAAGTATCTTTTTAGGTCCTTTGCCCATTATTAATTGAATTGTTTATCTTCCTTTTGTTTAGTTGTGTGAGTTCTCTATAAATTTTGGAAAATAAACCCTTATTAAATGTATCATTGGCAAATATATTCTCCCATCAGTGGGATTTCTTGCTATTTTGTTGATGGTTTCTTTTGCTGTGCAGAGGCTTTTTATTTTGATGTAGGCCCATTTGTTTATTTTCTCCTTAGTTTCCATTGCCCTAGGGCAGTGGTCAGCAAACTCATTAGTCAACAGAGCCAAATATCAACAGTACAACGATTGAAATTTCATTTGAGAGCAAATTTTTTAAACTTAAACTTCTTCTAATGCCACTTCTTCAAAATAGACTCGCCCAGACTGTGGTATTTTGTGGAAGAGCCACACTCAAGGGGCCAAAGAGCCACATGTGGCTCACGAGCTGCAGTTTGCCAACCACGGCCCTAGGAAATGTATCAGTAAACATTGCTATGAGAGATGTCTGAGATTTTGCTGCCTATGGTTTCTTCTAAGATTTTTATTATTTCATGTCTCAGAGTTAAGTCCTTTATCTATTTTGAATTTATTTTTGTGTATGATGTAAGTTGATGGTCTATTTTCATTTTTTGCATATATCTGTCCAATTTTCCCAACACCTTTTATTGAAGAGATTGTCTTCACTCCATTGTATGCTTTGTTTCCTTAGTCAAATATTAATTGAGCACAATGGCTTGGATTGATTTTCTTTTGATATCTGTCTTTTGCTCTCTTCCTCTGGTACACAAGGTGGTGGGCTGGTGGGAATGTGAGTGCACATATCTAAAAGCAAATTTCAGGTATTTTTTAAGGTACAAGTATTATATTATTGTATTTCTTAACATTTGACTTGCATACAGCTACAATATAATTTTTTTAGGGCCTTTTCGTTATATATGTTTTTCTGACCAACTTTTTAAATGTTGTTTTCCAATCCTATTATATTTTCCCACAAGCCCTATAGTTTTTATTTCTCAAATATGCCGAGCAAGGTAATTTTAAAGAAACATATATGTCTCGTTATACCTTAAGTGATTCTACTTTGCATGTACAACATGCCTTTACCTGTGAAATTTAAACAATTTTAGTGATATCTTCTTCAATTAATGGAGAAAAGAAACTTTTCATTATATGCACAAAGAAACTGAAGAAGTCAAGACTACACTTGGATTACTCAATGGTCAATAGTGAAGCCAAAAAAAAATTCCAGGTATTCCAACTCCTCCCCCCTCCCAAGTTCAAATAACCTGAATGTGCTTTATACTTAGTAGGCATATTTGATAAATAATCTCTTTTGAGCAAGAAAAGTTTTTTAATAAACAATTTCATAGAATTTGAAAAGGACTGAGAAAAATGCTAGAATCACATCAGGGTGATCAAAACAGGTAGGTTATTTTTATTATAGCTTATCTTATTTGCTTGCTCAACAATGGATACTTTATAAATTATTAGAATTTAGAGTAAAATAGAACTTTGTGGCCCCTGTAACTTTAGTGAAACCCTATTATTTAGACTCATATTGGTAATTATATATTAATATTAGCCAAATCATTAAAATTACACAAAATTTTATTTTAAGTAGCAAAGTATAAATGACTTCTAAACGCATTGGATTTATGTCCAATTTTAGACCAATTTTTAGAATGCCTGACATTAAATTTACTTAACCAAGATTCCAAATCTCACTGTTTTTCTGTTTTTCTTTCTTTATTGATTAAGGTATTAAATATGTGTCCTTATCCCCTCATTGCCCACCCTCCCCAGTCATGTTCATGCCTTCACCTCCTGGTGTCTGCATCCATTGGTTATGCTTAAATCTCACTTTTTTCAATGATGATTTCTAAACTACTTTATTCATGTAGCCAAAAAGGCAATGATGAGCATGTTTTTGGGGGTGAGGACAGGGATGAGTGGATTGTTGAGGTTTTATTTTTGAGGGATGGTCTAACATGGAACATCATATCTAAAACTTATTTTTTTAAAGACATACAAAGTCAGGAAGTAAATTTCAGTACTTCTAATGACTGTGACAAGTAGACAGAACTTGCTGTTTTGCTTTGCATATTTGTTAAAAGCAAAGTATTAGATATGGCAATATCTAGATCTTCCAAGTCCGAACTTAGTGCCCTCAACTATTAGCCTCTAGGAGACAATGTTATCTTCTCCCTATTAAGGAAGATTTTCATTTGGGCACAGGGTTGGCACAACCGTTAGCTGAAAGAGGAAGACATAATAAGAACATTTTGCTAAAAAGCTCTTTCCCCAGTTCATTACCTGTTCAACATTGCCAGTGAAGACCCCATCGAGGATAAAGTATGTCCAGAACAATGGCCATTCACACTCTATATTTTCAAATAACTTCAGCTCAGCTGGTTCATAGTATAGGCGATTGGGATCCTGATAAAAGCATAATAAAACAGTCTGTCTTATCACTCCAAGATCAAATATACATATTTAGACCAGGGGTATATAACATAGCCTTTCCTTATTGATAGTTTCAGAGAAGGCAGAAAATGTACATACCTCTCTGCCTTAGCAAGTACTTTGTGATATGACTTCTAACTACTAGAACAGGAATAATAATGACATTATAGGCAGGTGTATGAAGACATGAGATTAATCTGTAATAAACTTGAGTTTTATTTTATACTTTATAAGTTTTACATAGCAGGAGAAAATGTGGACAGAAATATTTAGCAGATGGTAAGAGATGAGAGTTTGGGAATCACCATTATGAGTGATAAATGAAGTACAAATTGTAGATGTAATAACTATATATAATGAAGGAATGGCTCAAGAACAGAATCTGTAAAACCCTCTCAGTTTCATGAGTGAAGGAGAGAGAGAAAATAATTAGGACAATGTAGTGTTGTGAATATTAAAATAAGTAAAGAATTTCAAGAAAACATAGAGATAAGTAACAGTGATGTCCTACAAAGAAGTCAAGCAGAATAAGGATTGTGGAGAGGCAATTGGATGGGTCATTTAGAAGATTATGATGATATTTGAGAGCATAATTTTCATAGATTGGTAGAGGAAGTTAACAAGGCTAAAGAATAAAGTCAAAGAGAGGAAGTAAACCAGAAGAGTTTGAGCTTAATGATTTTAAAAAATTATTATAATGGCTCTCGACCATCAAATTTAAACCTTAAACACATTGCCAATGAAAATGCTTCTTATTGATAACTCATTGCCTTCAATAATACTTAATTTTTTCCATTGATATTTCCAAGGAGAATTTTGACAACTGTAACAAATGGAAATTAATTTTTCAAGATCAAAAACTGTTTACAACTAACCAGCAGCAAAGCTAGAAGGAGCCAGGAAGAGCTAATGATGGAAAGATTTTTTTTGCCTATAACATTATTAAATACCAGAGGCCCAATGCATGAAATTCTTGCATGGGTAGGGTTCCTAGGCCTGGCCAGCAATTGGCCTATCTGTGGGGCAACCAGTGGGGCAATGGGCCCCCCCCTGCTAGCACCCACCTTGGCTGGCCTGGGGCATGTGGGCTGGGGGCAGTTCCTGCATTAAGCATCTGCCCCCTGACCTGGTGGTCAGTGAGCATCATAGCAACTGGTCGTTCCACCGTTTGGTCTATTTGCATATTAGCTTTTATTATATAGGATTTGGGAGGGAAACTACTTTGAGGCTATGCAAATACTCTGTTTCTGCCTAAACTTTCATTCACTGGTTTACACATACCACTTAAAAATAAACAAATGCAGAAAGGCTTACAAACAGAACTTAGCTACAAAAGCCAACAAAATTAGCAATTATCACTTATTATTATCCTATTTAGTGATTATTTTAAGTACCATGAGTGAAGTAACTGTTTATTCTGAATAAGACTATAGATAGCCTTGGAATCATTTTGGAGAGAAGGAACCTACCTCTTTAGGGGTTTTGTATCCATCTCGTAGAAAGCGACAGCAGCCATAACGACCCTGGGAATGCAGAGAAAAAAGGTCAGAAGTTTGTACACTGGTTCAGCCATATATTTAATCAGAAATACCTTCTTTGCTATAATCTTTATAAACATTTATGCAACCAATATAGGAGCACCTAAATATATAAAGCAAATTTAGATGAATATAAGGGGGAGAACAATAGTAATAGAGTCATAGAAGTGGGTTTTAAAACCTGATTAACATCAATGGATAGCTCTTCTAGAAAGAAACTCATCAAGAAAACAGGGGCCTTAAATGACATACTAGATCACATAGATTTAACTGATATCTTCATAGCATTTCACCCCAAAGCAGCAGAATATATATTATTTTCAAGTACATATAGAACACTTTCTAGGAGAGACCACAAAACAAGTCTCAAATTTTAAAAACTGAAATCATATTAAGAGCCTTCTCTGACCATCTCAGTATGAAGCAGGTAATCAATCACAAAAAGTGTGAAAAACACACGAAGACATGGAAGCTAAATGACATATTACTAAACAATGAATGAGTTAATAATGAAATCAAGGAAGAAATCAAAATATACTTTAAAACAAATAAAAATAGGAACACAACAACCCAAAATCTATGGGACACGGTGAAAGCAGTATTAAGAGGGAAATTCACAGCATGACAGGCCTACCACCAGATATAAAAATAATTTCAAATAAGCTATTTAACTACACTCTTAAAGGAACCAGAAAAGGAACAAACAAATCCTAAGGTGAGTAGAAGGGAATTATATGCATTACAATGGAAATAAATGAAGTAGAAACTATATATATATATATATATATATATATATATATATATATATATATATATATATGAAAGATCAATAAAACTAAGAGCTGGTTCTTTGAAAAGAAAATGGTCGTCAAATAAGCAGACCTTTCTTGCACCTTTTCCAAGAATCAGACAGGAAATAACACTAAAGTGGGAAACATTTACCAGGAATTGCCAACTGAGGTCCAGCTGAGGAGGAGAGTTATATCAAGGAAGGGCATAAAACATCTGGAGGCTGATAGGAAGGATGAGGTCATAAGAAGAGGTGACCCAGCTTCCATGGGCAGCAGACCGAGTGGGAGGAGTGATTTCTGGGCTGTTGGAGGGTGTGTTCCCTCAGAAGATTGAGGCCCGGAACCCAGGCTGGACTCCATAGCCCAGAGAACCAGAGCCAAAACCAGTGGCCCATGTCACATCCAGCCGTGACTGCTGGCCCTCAGGGAATCCAGTAGGAGAGAAAGCCTCCACATTTTGTTTGTGTTTTATTGTTTGTTTTGTTTTTAATTATATTATATATATTTTTTACTTCAGAGAGGAAGGGAGAGAGAGAGAGAGCGAGAGAGAGCGAGAGAGAGCGAGAGAGAGAGAGAGAGAGAGAGATTGAGAGAAACATCAATGATGAGAGAGATTCGTTGGTCGACTGTCTCCTGTATACCCAACACTAGAGATCGAGCCTGTAACTGGGGATATGCCCTGACCAGTAATCAAACCATGACCTTTTGATTCATAGGTTTACACTCAACCACTTAGCTATACCAGCTGACCTCATTTTTTTGGCTTTTTTTTCTTTATTGATTAAGGTATTACATATGTGTCCTTATCCCCTCATTGCCGCCTGACCCCACTCCCATTCATGCCCTCACCCTCCTGGTGTCTGTGTCCATTAGTTATGCTTATATGCATGCATACAAGTCCTTTGGTTGATTCCTGCCCCTTCCCCTCACCCATTTGACCCAATGATCCCACTTCTAGGAATATATACCAAGAAACTAGAAACACTAATCATAAAGGATATACACTAAGTGGCCAGATTATTATGATCTCTGAATGCATAATAATCTGGCCATTGAATATATATATGCATAAATTCATAAATTCGTGCATAAATTCGTGTATAGATGGGGTCCGGCCAGCCTGGCTAGGGGGAGGTGACATGGGCAGTTAGCCAGCCTACCTGCTGGTTGAACTCCTGGTCAAGGGGACAATTTGCATATTAGCCTTTTATTATATAGATATACACTGAGTGGCCAGATTATTATGCATTCAGAAATCATAGTAATCTGGCCACTCTGTATGCACCCCTATGTTCATAGCAGCACAATATACAATGGCTAAGATTAGGAAACAACCTAAATGCCCATCAGCAGATGAGTGGATTCAAAACTGTGGCACATCTACACAATGGAATACTATGCTGCTATTAAAAGGAAGGAACTCCTATCATTTGCAACATCATGGATGAAGCTGGAGAGCATTATGCTAAGTGAAAAAAGTCAGTCAGAGAAAGATAAATATCACATGATCACATTCAATTGTGGCTTTTTTTAAAGCCTAGAACACAGGAGTTTCATTTACAGCAAGCATACAAACTCATGGCCCACAATGAATATTTTTGCAGCCCAGCCAATAAAACGGCATGTAAGAAACATTTTAATAAAAATTTCATAACTTAATTTTTATAATGTCCTGTTATACATAATTATTAATAACAAACTACAATGTTCTCTAATAACTTATTATTATAATCATGTTGTTTTCCTTTCCCTTATACACCTTGCGCGTAGGCACACTATTTCTCTCCACTAATACTAGCAGCGAATATTTTAGCAGCTGATTGCCACATCATTAGTCTTGAACTGACTTGCTTGATGTGCACAAAAGGAAATATTTCACTTTTGGAGAATAAGAAAAATAGGTTTATTTGCGTTACTTATTAATTTGTGCACTTATTTGATGTCTGGTAAGTTAATGTTCAAGAAAAAATATTAACTTTTATTAAAATGTTGTATTATTTTATGTTAACAATTACTCATTTATTTCAGCCCTGTATTCAGCATGTATCTATCAAAATAAACCTACATTTCTATGAAAATTTAAGCCTTTTTTTTTCCTGGCCCACATAATCTCAAACCTTGTTTATTTGGCCCGTATTATCCTTTGAGTTTGACATGCTCGATTTACAGCTACTCACATGAGAATTGGTGGAGAGAGAATGGTAGGAACTCAAGGTGCCTGAGGAAAAGATGGGGTTGGAAACATTGTGGAAGAGCAGCAGCAAGAGAACTGCATTTGGCCATACCCCCAAATAGAAACAGCCATTTTTTCCTGAGAGGAGCTAGCTGCCCTCAAGAAGAGAAAAAAATCCACCTTAAGTGATAGGGCCTGCCAGACCCTCAGGCACCCTGCCTGCCATACCCTGCATCTTGACCTTTGCAGATGGCAACAAAGACCAAACCTTTGTGTTAGAACAGTATCAGGAAGCATCAGTAACTGGATTGAGGGTAGGGCCATCCATCCAACTTTCCTGTGAACCTGATAGTTGCTTCCCCCATACAGGAGAGCTAATAGAAACTCCAGGTTTACAGCTGAGCCTACTGGACTATATATAGGATCTCTGTCATGACGAAGGCAGAGCAATATTCTGGTCACTCCCAGAGGAGTAACTCTGGGACATAGAAAAACATCCAGCATATTCCCTGAACAGCATCATCCCCTCGAGGGAGACCCAGGGTTCTAGACTCCCAATTCTGCATAAAGTGCTTTCAGAGCTGACTGACAGGTAAAGGTGGGTAGAGGTGGAACCCTGATAATGTGGGAAGCTTACTGACCAAACACTAAGCCCCATGCCACTAACAAACCTGCTTTACAAGGCAGATTAACTGCTCCCACATATAGACAAGTGCTGTGGAGACAGAAACTGTGGATCTCTCAGAGCTTCAAGCAGGTTTGTTGAAAGCCAAAGGAGGACAGATTCTGATGATGGTTGGTAACTAAGTACCTCCCAGGAAGTCCAAAATTGGCAGACAAAATATTCAGCCACAGTCATCAGAAGAGCAGAGTCCAATAGGAGCTCCAGGGAGGAACTAAACATGGCCAAGACAAATGCCACTTCACCATTTTTTTATTCTCTTCCCTTTCTTTCTGTCCTTTATTTATATTCCTTATCTGTTTTATTGATTGGCTATTATTTTAGTCTCTATTGTATCTGTCCTATTTTAATCTTCCCTTTTCCTACTCAATATTTTTTTCCCTTTTTCTCCTGCTCTCTCACCTTTTTTCCTTTTATTATTTTGGGTCTATCTGCTTTATTCTTTATTTTCCTTTTCAATTTTTTTTCATCCTCTTTAATTTTGAATCATTTTCTTCCCCTATTCTTCATTCTTACTTTCTTTATTTCACCTCTGCCCCTTGTTATTTCTCTCCCCCTTTTTGTTGTATGGGGAAGGGGTGCTTCTTTTAGTTAGTTAGTTTGTTTTTTCTCTCCATAGTTTTAATTTTCTTCTACCATTAGGACTCTCTTTACTAATTTTCTCTTCTCAGTGGGTGGTTTTAGGTGTTTTTGTAGGGGTATTTTGTATGTTTTTGCTTGGTTTCTTCTTTTGTTGTGTTATATGTTGTTCTGTTCTGTTAGCACCTCCACAACAGCTCAGATGACATGATGGCAGGTGAGCCACAAAGTCACCCATGAGAGGGAAGTTCCCAGCTATACAGGCATACCTCAGAAAACAAGAAGGATTTCTAATAAACTATCTAACCATACAAGTTAAATAATTAGACAAAGAACAAAAGGAAAAAATCCAAAGTAAATAAAAGGAAGGAAATAATAAAGATCACAGCTCAAATAAATGACAAACTAAAAAAACAAACAAACAAAAAACACCCACAAAAGATCAATGAAACAAAGAGCTGTTTCTTTGAAAATAAACAAGATTGATGAACCTGTAGCCAGTATCATCAAGAAACAAAGAGAGAGAGAACACAAATAAACACAACCAGAAATGAAGTAACAATATCAAAGAAAAACAAAAATTGTAAAAAAAAAAAAAAAAATTGCCATGAATAACTATATTCCAACAAGCTGGACAAGGTGGATGAAATGGACCTATTCCTAGAGAAAAACAATTTTCCAAAATTGAATCAGAAAAATAAAATAAAAAACTTGCATAGGCCCATAACTACTGATGAAACTGAAGCAATAATAATAATAA